AACCCTGTGTATGGGACATACTTTTTGCACTTGGGATTTCCGCCCTTTCTCTTGAAATAAATCGCGATTTCAAGCAACGCGAAATCTGTCGTCTTCTGTTGTAACGGTACAAGGTTGCGGTGTCAATTAAATTAAAGGGAAAATTAATCAATGAACGTATATTAAAGTGAGGTGACACGCGAGTTAAAAGACAACATTATAAAGAGGCGAGCTGCGAGATTATTATCTCCGATCTCGAGCGTGACATACATTCTGTCAGGAAGGATGACTTGGCGTAGTTTTCAATTTTTTTTTAACATCTTATCTAACAGCGATACAATTACCTCTTATTTGTCTAGCATGACGTTCTAATAACAACACTCGCTCTTTCCTGACACACTGCATGACTCGTAAACGACACGCAGGAAGGCCACTCCTTGTTTCTCTCGCTGAATAAATACTTTATATACAATTTATTTTTGATGATGTCATGTGATGATGAAAGTGTTACAGCAGATTAAGTCTACGATACTGCGCAGAGCCATCGAATCTTTTCCGCAGTCTTATTAATACAATTCCATATGCAACACACAGTATAACCGGTAAAGAGTTTCGATTAAGATCACAGCAAATCTTCCTAACAAGTGACCCGAGTATCACGGAAGGAAAAATGTAGCTGCCGTAGCTGAAAGCTGCGCGTGGCAACGAAATTTCAGTTGTAAAATGTGGACAGCTGATATTTGGTTGCCGAGTATTCTGCTACTGTGCCTACACTGTATCGGGTGCGGCAGCAAACCGTTTACCGTGGTTTAGAAATTTTACAATTATGGCGGCGAAACATTTTTAGCAGACCACGATCAGCTACGATAGCGAACAGTTTTCTCTTCCAGTGTACGCCCGGTGTTCGCCGAACACTTGGCGCGTTCATCTCTCTTCGCTAATTATTGTATTTGATATTCCTTCATACGGTTGATATCGCTCGTACAAACGCTACTACATCACATATGCTTATATAAAAAGAGAGAGAGAAAAAAAACGTACTTTTACGAAATATCATTGATCCGTTCGCGGCAACTCCGTCGCTTACGCGCTATATAAATTCTATGTGCGTGATGTCACGATCATATCGTCGATCTGTAAAAAGTGTCCGATTTAAAGCTACCGTTACTCTACGAAAATACCGATATATCAAAGATGTTAAAAAATAAATATATATATTTATATATATACGAGAGGTCGCAACAAGTAAAAACTATACAATTGTTATACGCTACGGTGGTCGTAAAACAAAGGGCCACCTAATATCCTTGATAAAGGGGGGGGGGGGCAAGAATGGGAGAGAACCGATCGTCACCGCGGCAATTGAAACAAGGATATTACGTACACGAAAAATCACAACCAGCGAGTAGCCAATTATTATGCTAGTAACAAAAATAATGATTAGTACGATTAATATTACAATAAATTATGCCGTGCGCGGCTTCAGGAATTTTTACGAGGGCGGCACTCGCTCGCCCCGTCCGTCAGAATTGTTAATTCGGCTAATGCTTGCTCCCGACCAAGTGCGCTCGTGCGTCGACTCGTGTTAAATTGCGCCGGCCGAGCAACCCTCGATTTACGGATCGTTCGTTTGTGCGAGTTAGGCGCCGTTGTTCCCGACACGGTACGGCTTTGCCGGCTGACGTCGTGTTTTGGCGTTTCGTTCTGGCAGTTTGTTAGTTCGTGGGAGGCGCGTAAAAACACGCATGTAAAACGTACGTGCGATATAAAAGCTGCGTGTTAGGTGATGGAGACGAGCGGGGCCGCGTTAAAGCGCCGGCGCGTAACCACAGGGTTGCTCTCTCGGCTCGCGCGAGTATCTATTAATAGCCGTCCCGCCTAAAATCTAAATAACAAAGTACTAGCTGCTCTATTTTTACGACGAGATGATCCGCAAGCAGCGCGGCTAACTAGAGTATGTCATGCTGAGGGATGACGATTCTGACGGGAGGGAGGGCGACCGCCCTGTGATCACAGAGAGGGATTCTAAAGAAGTATAGTCTATGTACGATTGCTTAGGTCTCGCTCGGAGACGGCCGTTCCCAGCAGCACAACCATCTACGCCACAACGGGGGCGGCTTCCTACGCCGGTAGAGCAGACTGGCGCCACCGCGTCGAGTATTGAGGGCACTGACTATCGCCTGATCGAAGGCCTCCTTGAGGTCGTGTTGCGTCAACGCGGATGTCTCTACGTAATTGACGGCGCCCAGCCGGTGCGCCAGTTGATGGCCCTGGATCGTCGTGATCGGCGCCTGCCCGTATCTCGCCAATTGCAGCATCAGACGCACGTCCGATCTCAAGTCGCTCTTTGTCCCCACCTAGAAAATTATAATACAATCAAATAACACAACCATTTATTGTAATCTTCTATCGCAATATTCGTAGTGTATTATGATAAAATTTGATTGTATCGAAGTACGATATATCTTAAGGAGATTACATCGGAGCTCGATAGATCGTACCAAAATGATTGGGGCGTTGGGACAGTATTTTCGCACTTCGTTGATCCACCTGGAAGCCACGCTGTGATAAGACGAGGGGCAAACGACGCTGAAGCAAACTAGGAACACATCTGTCTCGGGGTAGCACAACGATCTCAAGGGGTCGAAGTCGTCCTGGCCCGCTGTATCGCACAGCTGGACATTCAGTGGTTGCCCGTCGACGTTTACCACCACTGGATACACATACCAAGACGAATTAGTATTGTTGGACCGATTGATACATTGTTATCTGTTTACAACGAAATGCCAAATAATATGTAAAGTGGGGAAGCGTCGTAATTAAAAGATCAGTTAGGATAGAAGCAATATCTCGCAACGCAAGTCATGCACGTGACGAATTCCCTAAAGCAAGATACGTATGCCGCCTCGAGGATATCCAGAGGGTGAGTCGCAGTCCTGAAGGCGCAGCAAACACGCACCGTTGTAATTGTCGAAGGCGGTCGGCACGTATTCCCCGGGGAAGCCGTTGGTGGAGTACGAGACCACCAGGCTGGTCTTGCCGACCGCACCGTCGCCCACCAGGACCACCTTGATCCTCCTGTCGAGGATCGGCGTCGCCGGGTGCTCCGTCAGGGTTTGATTCTGCGCTCCGGCGCCGACGGCCACCGAGGACGTCATCGTCGCCGCTGCCGTCGCCGTCGTTATCTGCTGCTGCTGCCTGGCGGCCTGCATCTGCGTCGTCTGTCCGCCCTTGAGCAACGGCCTCGTCCAGTTGGTGTGCGAGGACGGCGGCATTGTCTCGCTCTTGATCCTGCCGCAGCCCCGACCTTTCATACGTCCGTCCGCGGGCGCGTCGACGAAGCCGCGGATGCGGGGACTCCTCGGCGCCGAGCGTGGACGACGTCGCTGGCCCTCGGCTCTCAGGTCGCTCCGCGACGTCGCGTCGTCGCGCACGTCATTCCTCGGCGCGGCGTCGTCGGGCACGGCGTACGGGGGCCCGCTGGTCGACCTGGTGCGAGCCTCCGCGGCGGGGCGGGGACGGGCTGGGAGCGGGCGGGCGCGAGACGAGCGAGATAAGCGGCGCGAAAACAATGGGTGTGAGACTCGGGAGCGAGCGGGGGAACCCGTGGTCGCGAGGCGCGCAAAAAAAGCCAGCCCGAGGCTGGTCCGACCGACGATTCACCTGCCGCGACGCGGAGCCACCTGTTACCGCGCCCCCGCCTCCTGGTGTGCGCCCGCCGGTCGGCGTCGCGTGCGGACACACGCGCACAGACACGCTCGCGCGCGCGCGCGCGCGCGAGACGCAGGTGGACGCGCGCGCGAGCGGCGTGCGCCGCGCCGCGGCCTTCAACCCTCTCGGACACACGCGTGCGCGTGAGATTGTGAAAGCAACGAGCGCGACCCGCGGTGTTTCGACAATCGATGTAGTTTGGAGACGACGGTGATCGGCGATTAAATTTTCGGCGGAGCTGCGGGACTTTTTCCTCCCGGCGCCGCGAGAACCGAGTGATCTTACGTTGAGCAGAAAAAGCTGCTTCGCAACTGCCGTAAAATTCATTAATCTGATTGGAAGGATGCCCCTAAATTCACGCAAGATGAAGAGAATACGTCGATCAGATTCGCGAATTTTACAACAGCCGCAAAGCGCGGCCATTGTTAACGACAATCTCATTGTCTGCTTTGTTCGGTCAGAGAGAAACCTTTGAGCGCCGGGCGCGTTTTACTTGATACCGCTTTCGCGAGACTGTTTTGCGCCCTTTTTTACTCTTGGAACTATTTTGCTGTGCAACTTCTGACACTATCTGCCGATAAAGTCACCGCTCGGTGCGTGTCCATGCTCAGGATTTCGCTGCGAAATTAAAAATTAGCACAAATTATCTGCATGATATTTACATCAACTTTTCTAAAATGTTCTTTTGGCCGTGTCAGCTTGTGCTGGAAGCTGGGCGCCACAACCAGAAGAGGAAGAAGAAGGAGGCAATATGTTCTGACTTTCGAAAAGACCGCGCGTTCGAGAGTGCGCGCGCACCCGTTGAAACACGGGATCAGCCGGCTTCGCACCGCTCTGCACGCTCGTGCCAGCGACGGGCGCCGTTCGCGTCGTAAGTACAGTTTGAGGGTCAAGTAAGAGATAAAAGGAGCCGCGGGATGATCAGGAGTAACGCGTGGAGACTGGACCTCCTCGTCAGGTATGCTTCCCTCGCGTTCGGTCGCGGCTCGCGCGTCCCTAACCTGCAATCTCGCTGCGACATAACCTGTCGGCTTCTTCCAGACGGTGCCAATATTGTTGCGCCTCGCTGAGAGCGACGGCGGGATGCCCGGCGAGGCTCGCCGCACGACACGCCTCGGGCGCCAACGCGCGATTCGCCAGGTACGCGGGTCGAAGGTGGCGGCTCGTCGTCCCGGCCGGGATCTGCTTGTCGCTGCTCGCGGCGACGCAATGGAACTACCTGCATAAGTACGGCTATCCCGTCCACGTGGACGACCGGCCGGAGCTGCTGAACGACGTCGTGGTAAATAACTTGTGTACGCGCGTTTCTGAAGTGTCGAGTTAACGAGATGTAAAGTCTCCCCGCCGCAGGTAACGTGCTACTGTTGCCTGCCGCTGAGGACGACCAGCAGACTGTGGGGCTGGCTGACGAGCGTCGACCTGCCGGTCGGCCTGCGGCCGAAGCTGTACGGTTTCTACGCGAGCATCTTCCACGCCGACCTGGACGAGGTGGAGCTGGACCTGTCCGCGTTTCCGAATCTGGTGGAGTTCTTCGTGAGGAGGCTCAAGCATGGCGCGAGACCGATCGCTCAGCACGCGAATATGGTGAGCATTCGCTGGTTGTATCGCGACGCGAGCTTGCGCGAGAGTCAAACGTATCTGGATCCTTCTGCAGACTTCACCCGCGGATGGTAGGGTGCTTTATTTCGGCCCGGTGACCTCGTGCCGCGTGGAGCAGGTGAAGGGGGCGACGTACGATCTCAGACAGTTCCTGGGCGATCCGAACGACCTCACGTTGAGCCAAATCGCAAGCGAGACGACGCAGAAGGACAATTATGTTAATACCCTTCTGAAGAATCCGGACAATGCACTGTACCAGCTGATCGTGTACCTGGCGCCCGGCGATTACCATCGGTTTCACAGTCCTGCCGACTGGAATATTAAGTTCCGACGCCACTTTCCAGGTGCGCGCCCCGTCCCTGTGTAGTTACAGCCCCCATACACCGACACCATCCTTGTTCTATTTCTCTAAGGCAAACCGCCCTTCTCGCAGGAAAGTTACTGAGCGTCAATCCGAGGGTGCTCAAGTACATGCCCAACTTGTTCTCGTTGAACGAGCGCGTCGTGTACGTCGGGGAATGGGCAGGCGGCTTCATGGCTTACGCGGCGGTCGGGGCGACGAACGTGGGCTCCATCCGGGTCTACTGCGACAAAGGGTTGGCGACCAACACGGTGCACTGGCCGGAGACCGCGCACTGGGAGGAGGCGAACTTGGGTTGCGCGCGCGTCGCCAAGGGCGAGCTGTTCGGCGAATTCAGACTCGGATCCACGATCGTGCTTCTGTTCGAGGCGCCGCGAGACTTTCAATTCTCTCTGCAGATCGGTCAGACCATCAAGGTCGGTCAGGCATTAAGCGCACTTCCCACCGAGTCTGACGAAAGACGGAGCAAACCGCAGCATCTAATCGTGAACGTCGCGCAGGATTGGAGAGATATATGGAAGCCTAGAGTGTAGAACGGAACGATCGAGTAGGAACTGCCCTAATTTTGCTGGAGAGCACCTCGAACGCTCGCGTCTTTGCGCGAAATGTAGGCGCAATAGAGAGAACCAAGGTAGAATTGCGAGAGCTCTAGAGACGATCGGTTTGCAAGCAAATATCGATCCTGTGATTACATACTTCTTGTACGTGGCCGTGTTCGTGCGCGAGAAAATCGTCATTTCATGCGGTCTATCTGAGATTACATGTAAATACATCTCTCTAATTACGCTCATTCGTTACTTTAATTGCACGATACTGAGCACCACGCGAAAGACGGTTCATAATAGATTTGGCACAGTTGATTTATTGTTACGGCCGGATACGTCGGCGCGTTGCCGCGCAACGCGTACTCGCCTTTGTACGACGAGAAGCCAAGGGGGACCCTTAAATGCGAGAAAACATATTTCTCTTTCCCGCTTGTGCGTCACCGCCCATGGAGGTCGGATCGTAAAACTGTTTTAGTTGCATGCCAAATCGATCTTTGTTTGCAGTTAAGTCGGCCGGTCAAGGCCGCTAGATGAAACGCTTTCCTCAATTAAAGCTCCAACTTCTTTTCTAAATCAGAAAGCAACGGGTATACCTTGTTGAATTTACAGCGCGTACGAAGCGCCGGTCTTGCCGACCCCGCTTATATTTTTATAGCAGCATTTTCACTGATCTTCTAACGTTAATGTTAGTGTTGCCTCTGGAAAATTTTATGTAAATCGTTGTATCTCTTGTACAAACCCGGGCTTGCCCAGCGCGCGCGAATATGGCTTTGCACTTTGCGCCAGAATGAATGACAATATGAATACTTGAGTGCGCGGATATATTTTATGATCTATTTTATATAATGTGAAAATAAAATAATGAAAAGACCAATTATAAAAAGTACGACAGTTTTTACGAATGTTGAATAATTATCTTGATAAATTTATTAAATTTCATTTCATTATTTTGTTATTTCGATCGTAAATGAAGTTCTCGATATCGAGAGTCCAACCCTTACGGAAAAAGCACTCCAGTTTCGAGTGTTAACACTCTATTGTCCGAATTTACTCTCAAATTTTAGTGTAAATATTTAAATCTGGGCGTTTACGCCCAAATTTGAGAGCAAATTCGGACAATCGAGTGTTAACACTCAAAACTTGAGTGTTTTTTTTCCGTAAGGGAACCGCCCACAATATTTTAATATTTATGTCGTTCTGACGTACTGTTACTTTTTCCAGACCTGGAAAGCCATCTCCTGTCCTCCTAATTGCGCACTGTATAAACAGCGGGCATTAAAAGCATAACTTTGACGTTCCGCACACAGTATACTCTCTAGAGTAAACATAAGCGACACAATCGATGGTGACCCGTTCACCGGAAAATCAGAAATGACAGGCACTAGGGAGCGGTAAGTCGAATTGTTTGTTCATACATCTAAGCCTTGATATCTCGAGATCTTGGCTCGAAAGGAGATTAATCGTGTATTAATTTACGCGCCCGTAAAAATTTCTCACCCCTCTTTCACGTTAATTCAGACCCGTCTCTCTTGTAAATTTTACGAAAGAGAGCGAGCGAGAGATGCGGCGTAAATTTATCTCCTCCGCTCGCGTGAATTGCCTAGATACACGCTAATGCATCATCCCGCGCATAGAATCTCCCCGTGTCCTCTCGAACAAAGCTCCCGTGGACCGTCGTTTATCATCGCCGGGAGCGCAACGCCGCCCGTTCTCCAGACGAAGATACGCGCTGGTACGGGAAAAAGGAGGAAAACCGCCGAGCGAGCAGCCGGCCGGCGTCGCAAACGTCAAACTCCGTCGTTCGGCGGATCAGTGAGCGTCGCGACGCCCGCGGCGCAGGTTGCACCGTCTCCTCTTCTTGCAGCTCGTCGATAGTTCGCGCCGGTGCGCCGGGCAGGACGCTGTCGCGCGGCACCGCCGCGTATACGCGCTCACTCGGGGAAATCCCCCTTTTTTTTGAACTCCTCTTTCTCTCCGAGGGGCGACTGTTATGGGGCATCCGAGCGGCGGCTAAATGGGGGCCGATGGACATTTTCGCGTGACCTTGTCCCTCAGGAGGGAACCGGGCGCCGGTCCCGTCTTCTGCAAGATGGAAACGTCCGCCAGGTTCCGGCAGCTGAAGACGGTGAAGCTGAGCTGCGAGACGACCTACCGGCTCGACATCAGCTTCAAGCCGCCGCAACTGCTGCAGTGGGTACAGTGAATGTGCAATTGTACACATGTACTTCCTCTCTGCCTGCCTCCTGCTCCCTCGCTCGTGTCAGGTGTCGGACTTTGCGTCCTCTCTTCTCGGGAGGACGGCAGGACTCGGCGTCGCGTGATCCCGACGATCGGCCGACGGGGTTGTATTATTAGTTTTACTTGGAAAAAGCGAATGTATGTCATACTGGATATATCTGGAGCCGTATATCGTCTTTCTTCTGCAATTTGACAAATCGATCCGTTCTTCGTTATATAATGAAATTTTCACTGTATTGACCAAACTTTAATATATTTAGAATCCGATCCGCGTATCTAGAACAAATCGCGGCCGGCCTGATCCCGCGTAGAATTTACGGTCTACCGTGACCGCCAAATTACTCGGGAGTAGTCGTGAAATAATCGTAGCGAAATAATTACCTTGTCCTTTTAAGGGGGACCATAAACCACCGTGAAAAAGTCCCGCTCGGCTAATAGCGGAGTTTATCAGGAATTTATACGATCATTTTCAGCGCGAGGATGGAGGGGGCGGAGGGGGTAGGAGCCGGCAATAAATTTCAACGTCTGAGCCCCTATGCTCCAGGGACGAGGATTACGGTTTCTCGCTATACGTTCGGATATGGAATCGCTAATAATGCCAACTTAGCCGTGGATACTGAAAATAAACTCGGCTGCCGAATACGTGCGTGAAAACGTTTACTTCCGCGGGTATTTAACGGGGGAGGGAAAAGGATCCACGTTAAACGCTTCGCTCCATCGCGTGTAAAGCTGCGCCAACGTTTCGCCGTGTTAGGCTCGGGTTTTCGTTCGCCGGTTAAATGTTAACTGGTGGTTAGTCGGTTATCTCTTTTTAAATAATAGTATAGTCTTAAATGATAATAAAAGATAAAATTTTCTGGTTAACAGTTAACCGGAAGATGAAAAATCGGGCCTTGGTCGGACTCGCGGCAATTTTCTCCAACACGCCGAGACAGAATCTCTAGACGCGTCGATCCTAGCATTACATTTTCTAGATTAGTCGATTATCGGTCTCTTCTTAAATAATAATATAGAAAACAATAGGGAGTCGACCAGCCTTATTTCATTTTCTGGTCAACAGTTAGCCGGAAAATGAAAAACCGGGCCTTAGTCGGATTCGCGGCAATTTTCTCCAATGCGCCGAGGCAGAATCTCTAGACGCGTTTATTATCAATCTTAAAGAGTCGTGATTCAATCCTAGCATTGCATTTTGTTACCATCCAGTTATTCTAATTCCAAGAATAACGCGGGATATTTTTAGGACCGAATTAGATGACGTGTTCGATTACAGTTTAATTTTTATCAGTTCTATAATTTAAATAAAATACGCGGGTGGCCTTTTTTTCCACTCGAGGGACTTGAAATAATTCCTCCGACAAATGAATCGAGGCCGCGGTGAGATTTACTTAACATCGCGAAAGAAAATCTCACCTGGTTCATATTTTATTTATATCGTGTCGCATCAGCGAGAACTTTCCGCGCAGATTGAAACTTATAACACACACGGAACGAAGCGGGGGCCGCGGTTGAACTCGTGAAACACACCCGGCGGCCTGGGGAATTAAACCTCCTCGAGGAAAGTTCGGATTAGCGCGCCGATTGAAATCGAATAAGCGCGTATGAATGACGGCCGTCGAAGTACGAGAATACGAGCGGGATTGATCTGCAGACAATTACGGCGCTCGTCGGGAGGCGCCCCGTCCGCAACGTTTTCCGCCCCGCGGTTTGTAGAACGAGACCGCGTTACGTGTACGCGATCTCGGCGCGAGATAGCTACCCCCGCGTGCGCGCGGTTTCTAAACGAGCGCGAGCACGAGTACGCGATCGACGGAGACACGTGTGGGACTCGAAACAGCTGCGATGGACCCGGGTGGGTCCGGACGTGCGGGAGAGACGGAACTCGCGATCATCGCCTTGAACCGCGCGAGTCCCCAGCCTCGTTACAGTTACAGTTACAGTTCAACACCAACTTAACTTCGTTACTTTTTCTTCGTCTGTAACTGTAAGTTAACTCGGTTACATTTTTTCGATAACCACCCTGGCGGAAATAATTCTACAAAGCTATAAAATATACAAAGTGTATAAAATATAAAGTAACTTTCTCAACCCTGCTTACAGTTGTAAGTGTACTGCGATTTTCACTCGCGGGGATCGATCGTGATTTTACAGGCCGCACGAGAGTTGGGCCGCACGTGCTACTTATAATTGGCTGATCGATGACACCGACCCGACCCCCTCATGAGGGTGTGCGACGATCAACTTGTTGTACGGCACCGGCCGCGTCTTATCGCGGGAGCGCTGAAGCATGATGGATGTGTCTCTCCCGCTTGATAAATGCGCGCGGTGAATTCAATCGAGCTTCTCGGGGCGTCGAGATATCGCCCGGGTGTACTGTTGCGATCGCCCCCCTCGGTAACAGGAGCCCACCCCCCCTTGATAAGTATCGCGTTGAGAGCGATCGCGCGCTCGTAATTGCGGCGATAAATCGTAATTACGCTCTCGCCCCGCGCGCGCAGAATACGCGATCCGTAAGATGAGAAATGTCCAGGGGGAGGTGACGAGGCGCCGCGTTTTTGCGCTGGATTAAAATCACTTGTCGAATCATCGCGACGCTCTCTGAAAGTCAATCAGCGGATTTTCAGTGAATTGTCACCGACCTCACAGTCAGGGTTGGGAAGCAACTCGTTACTTGTTACAGTTACAGTTCAACGCCAACTTAACTGCGTTAAGGCTGGTTTATGCAAGGCCGTACCCGTTAACTTATGTCGGAATCGGTAAAAATTAACCAATTACAGTCAATTATTCTCTTCACTTTTAACGGTGATTGGACAATTTTTACCAATTCCGGCATAAGTTAACGGTTACGGCCTTGCATAAACCAGCCTTAACTTTTTCTTCGTCTGTAACTGTAAGTTAACTCGGTTACATTTTTTCGATAACCACCCTGGCGGAAATAATTCTACAAAATTCTACAAAGCTATAAAATATACAAAGTGTATAAAATATAAAGTAACTTTCCCAACCCTGCTTACAGTTGTAAGTGTACTGCGATTTTCACTAGTACACTTGTAACTGCAAATTAGTGACTGTTCACTGTCCTCGGTGACAAGCCACTGATTGACTTTTAGAGAGTAGAGTAAATCAGGGTATTACAGCCGTACGGAAGAGATGCCATTTCTCTAATCGCTGAATAATACGTTTCCACAAAGATATTTGGCGTAGTTTATGCGCGTGCACGATCGAAATAACGATTGTAAATATTATACCACGTTTTTACCTTTGAGTGCGCCCTAACAGTCAATCAGTGCATTTATCACTGAACTAATCAGTGCTATACTTACAACCGTGAATCAGTAAATATTCACTGTTTTGCAGTGATAATCCACCGATTGACTTTTAGAGAGTGACCGCACAATTTTTACGGAACGTGGTTCGCTGTAACGAGCTGCCTATACCTAACGTCGAAGAAATTGCCGTTAAGCTGTGTAATCAACGTTAGACACGTGCACGAAGGTATGTAAATTGTAACGTGACCTATAATTTTTATTTCCGTTTCCACTATTTTAATACTTCGGCCATCTCTTCCTTACAAGTCTGGAAAGGTGGTCAAGGCTCATGTTGTGAACTTTGACAATGCAATACTTTCCGCGAAGTATTGTTTCGTTAATGCCAACAGCGTTACTTTAAGCTTCAAGTATGCCGAACGCTATAAAATAATACTCTCGAAAAATCAATCAGTGGATTATCACTGAAAACGGTGAATAGTCGCTGATTTGCAGTTCTAAGCATACCACTGAAAATCGCAGTATACTTGCAACTGCAAATCAGCGACTATTCACTGTTTTCAATGATAATCCACTGACTTTTAGAGAGCAACAAAAATAGAGGTATGTTTCTGCATTTGAAAATGCATTTGAAAATGCCATTGTACCCCGATTTACCCTACATTCAATGAAAGAGGCCCAAGGCTAGAGGCTTGAGACAACGGTGTACGAACTAGGATCAATATTATTGCGAGTTGAGTACCTAGTTTTCATTTCGATAATTGAGTCGCGATAAGGTCGCGAGAGGCAGATGTTATTAAACTTGAACCTGTCCCCCCTCTCTCTCTCTCTTCTTACGCTGTCGGTGCAACATCCCGCGGTGATTCGCAGCGAACGCGACTTGCACACGTTGAACTCGGAATCGAATATGGAGATCACGCGAACAAATGCAATGCGCATGAATATTTCACCCGGGCGCGCGATCACGAGGCCGGAAGTGCCCGCGTGATCTTCGAGAAGTCACGAAGGGCTCGCGTGTTCGCGCGCGGCAGAAACGGAGCAATTTTCCCCCCCTTGTCATTTTTTGGACAATGGAAAATTCTCCCCCCTTTCCCTCTCCCACGAGCGACAGAAAATCCGGGGCTCTCCTCCCGGCGCTATCGCCGAAATCTCGTGGCATTTTAAACAGCCGCCGCGGATCATTAGTCCAAATCACGCGATGCCGCTCTCTCTGCCGCGTGGCCTGCTTTTAGTCACCGGACACGACGTGCACGACGATCGACGAGCCCGGCGAGACGGGAATCCCCCGTGTGTGTGTGTGTCGCCGGCGAAAATAAATTAACGATTAATTCGTCTCGCCGGGGAACGTTACACATTCAATTAATTATTGCGCACCGCGTCCGCGTCCGCGCGCGCGCGCCGCCGCCCCGCGTCAAGTTCGTACCTGTAAAACGATTAAAGTTTCGTGATAAGCGTCGGAAAGTTTGCCCCGTCCTTGTTTCCCGCGATAATATTCCTTATAGACGGAAGTAAGGCAGAAGGACGCGAAATGTAGACATACTGACGAGCTTATGATGTTACAAGTCCGATGGGCGTTGCATTTTTTACGAACGATAATGCTATATCGACCGTGCTTTCGCGGATACGCCAGTCCACGGCTGCAAATCCGCCCGGGCCCGATCTCTTATTTTAGGCGCAGCTCTCGCGCATGCATCTTTAATTCTTAAACCTGGCGATGTGTCCCGCAAGACGCATTTCCGCCCCGTTCCGGCTCCGCACGAGACGTACCTCGTTTCAGCGCAATTCCTCCGGCTCGCGCGAGTCATATCTGCAAATCTCTTCAATTTATCATCCCCCTTTCCCTCCCCCGTTCCGTAAAACGTAAATCTAAAATATCACAGTTTACGCGCGTATTATGCGCGCATTGAAATCTTCTGCATTTTTTCCGCAAAAGTCATATTTATTTTCTCCGTGCTCGCAGCTACGACAGAGAGAAGTTCGTCTCTTTAATGTCACGTTAATCGGACTTTGTAGATGGCTAATTTACGGAAGTGAATGGCATTCACGTAATTCTTAAATGACGAGTAAATCTCGGAGACATTTAAGAAAGGAAGCCGTGGCATTTCTCCTCATCGTGCACTTATACGTTTCATTTTTCGTGCTCGCGGGATTTACGGGCCGTCCGTTTCCGAGATAACGATCCGATTCCTGTCACGCGGTTGTTTATCTCAGACGATAAGCCGATACGCGCGGTGCACGCACGCGGGTCATTTGCGCGAACTCTCGTCGTCGCCTTCGCGAAAACTCTAAAAATAAAGCCAGTCGCGAGCGTGAGTCAAAGTGCCCATATCGGCTGAACTAGACCAGCCGCGCTCTAAAGATCCATAGATCCGCCGATCCGAGGATCAAAGCGTCCAAAAATACCGGACCCACGTGCGATCGAAATCCGCGGCCAGGACTCGAGGAGCACCAGCGGCCGCGCCACTCGCCGACGTTCTTACGACAACGTGTAGTTTTCATACAGTAAAGATTAAGCAATCATCCTTGAACTCTTTATCCAATAATTGTAAGCGCTTTTAGTTATTAACAGTAAGTCCTATAGTCAGCGTGGAAAGGGATTAAGAAGTACAGCGAATGTTTTCAAGATCTTGGCGTATAATCACATTCTATCACTCGTTACGTAATTCGTCTTTAATTGCAAAATTTATTTGTCTCTCGTTTGCCGTGCAAAGACTTGCGCGTTTTAATTCGCGGCGGGACAGCAGTTCGACGTATTGGACAAACAGCCGGATTGAAAGCCCTTGAAATTTCGCGGAGGTCCTCGAGGTCGACGAGGTCCTCAGGTGAGACCAATTCGTACGTGACATTTATATTCTGATTTACGTCGCTCTTGCCGATCTAGATTGCTATTTCTATGCGCTGTAAACGGATTTTTACGACGAGTCGACTTGCAGGAATGTTGCTGGCGTACATAACATAATCGTCGGATCCGTTTATCTTGACGTTATGCCAGGCATGAGAAAAAATATTACCCAAGTACACACACGTGGCAACGATTGTGCCGCGCAAAACATCTATTTTCGCCGCTAAAAAGAAGAACTCCACCCCGTTGTGGGGCGCGCGTTCGCCGCGCATTGAGACCCGCGTCATTTCCGTTGCACTCGTTCGAACTTTTGTCGGCTTTCTCGCCCCGCGGACAGCCAATATGCCGAATAAGCAAATGACGCTCTTTTCAAAATAAATAACCGGCCTTGTCGAAAAGAAATAGGTCGTCAAACAGAATGCACTGCGGGGATGCGCAATCTTTCGGTCTTCCTATTTCTTCGCTCTGATCTCGAGATATTTTAGGTTCTAAGTCATCTAAACGAAACGTTAACGCGAAATTACATTATTGTCGCCATTTTAATGGCTTTACAAGCGTGCTTTTCGAGAGGCACCACACGGGAACGTGTTTTCTGAAGTCGCTGCGATATTTTCCAGGTCCCTGAGTATCGGAGGGAAACCGGTGGAAGCGATCGAACGCGCGAGGAACGGCACGGCGTGCGCCTACAGCGCTTATCACAGCACCAAGGACGTCACGGCGAGTGCGCGGGGTCATCGAGAGGATCTGCCGATCGCCATGAGAGTCCTCGGCTCCGGCTACCTGACCACCTGCCTGCAGATCAAGTACTACCGGCTGGACGACCAGAGCCACTGCGAGTGGGGCGCCAGACTGCACTGCATCGAGCTCGACTGCTCCAGCGTCGAGGGACGTCTCGTCACGGTGGACCGAGAGACCTACAGAAAGCTCGGCATAGAATCTTCTTAACGAAACGTCTCGCCAGCCTTACCGGTGTCGGCTCGTCGCCGGTACAGCTCGTTACACAGCGACGAGGAACCCGACGCCGCGCCGCACAATCGATGCTTCTCACACGCGATCGACTGAATACCTTACGCTCGTAAACGGTAAACACCCCCGGCTGTACCGGGGCTCACGTTCGGTTGAGTTAGGGCCAGTCCGGAGACTGTACTAGAAAACTCCGAGATAGGCGTAAAGATAGAATCGATAACGAGTCTAGTGTATTTTGACCAAGATTTTAAAAATTACGATGTACTTTTCGTTTCATTGTTTCGTACAGAGAGAAAGCCTAAAAATTTGCCCATTTAATTGTACAAATTTTGCCTCGATACTTCGAAAGTAGACTCTGACACGAACTCAATAAGTTGATTATCGTGCCAGATTATGCCGAGAAGGACTTCGTCAAGACGGAATTTTCAATGTAGTACAATATTTGTTTCGTTCATACGGAAAGTAGAAGCCTAAAAATTTTGCCTATTTAATTCCTATGTTAACGTTGCCCTAACAGTTGCACGAACACGAAAGTAGACTCTGAGATGACTTAAAGCCGATGGTCGTGCCAGATTACGAATGAGAAAGACTTCGTTAGAACGGGATTTTCGATTCAGTACGATGAATATAAATTGCGTAGAAATCTCGTGGAAGTATTAGCGTGATCGACAGGTAATTGAGATTGATCGTCGCCAGCTGGCTAACGAAATGCGTTAAAGCGTGGCTCGTGTTATTCAGAGAAGCCAGGCGCAAACTGATCTTTTGAGGCTTCCCCCTCATCGAAGATACCGAAATTTTATATTCAAAGAATCGAGATTAAGTATTATACCTAGAAATTTATATTCTTAGAAAATTAGAAATTTAAATCCAACTTACAGAAGTTCTACAGCGCTTCTATGCGTTAATGCAGTATCGATTCCATTGACAAAGCCAGCAGTAATTATTATAAACTAATTTCGATGTGAGATAAATCGTAAACATCTAACGTTGAAAGAAATAATCAATCGTGTTGATCTTCGTCCGATATCTTGCATTCTTTGGCGAAGGGAACTAACGCAGGACCCAGTGAGAAATAATTCGCCAGTCGTTTCTCGCTGGGGAATTAATATAATAGCAAAACTCCAACAGGAACCTATCGATGAAATACTTACATATGTACATAGTATGCGTCTAACATACGCGCGTCATTCATTACCGATTTAAGGCTTAATTGTCAGACGAATCAATCGTGAGGCAATATGCTGCGCGGTGAGAAAGAACGGGTTTTTTTTTCTAATTGAAAGCATCGACAAAAGTCCTACTCGTGTCAACGGCGCGATGTTAGCCTTTGCGAAACTTCGCGATCGAGGTGCACAATGCACTTTGGCGCGTATTGTTAACGCCCATGCATTCGCTTCGGTGTTATTTTTCTCATTTACGAGAACTTTTTGCCTCTTCTTTTTTTAGAATCTTCACACTTCTTAGCGGATGGAGGATTTTTCGTATCGAGAAAGCTCGCCCGATATACGCGCCGTCGCGTGTAAATTAATTGCAGAAGCGTCCTCGGATAACGATCGCTACACGATAGGGACTCATAGCACCTCAATACTTGAAAACTTTGGCAATCAGCGAAGTGACCAATTAACGCCTTTAAGCTTACTGTAATTGTGCAGGTTGTTTCTACTTTCTCTACTCGTTCACTGAATTTTAACGAGATCATCGTTGTATAAATGTACCACATATACAGGGTGATTCGTGATTATATGTTTATACTTTAGAGAGCGTATCTAGAATAGGAAAGAAATGTCATATGCAATCGCAGATTGAACGTTATTTTCAAAGTCACATGAATTGTGTGGGCGTAATCGAGGCACGTGCATGTGTTTAAATATTCATACGCGCTTACGTGTGTTTATTGTATCGGCATTGCGATCACGATCGTGCTCATTCTAATACGGATGACGAGAATTTACAATGAGTCAAGTTATAGAGATTGCAGCGCACGAAATTTTCTCCAACCCTTCTAAAATCTATTAACGTACAATTAAGAATCACTCTCTGGTATAAAATCTAAAAAGAACTATATATATATATATATTGTTTACAAACAATAAATACAAAATCACATGTCTGTTACCTTACATTCATAATCGCGGTGGCACGTAGTGCAGCAATGCATCCGCGATATCTCTGTCCCGCAACTTCTCCACCCGCGCTCGCATTAGCACCGCCAGCCTGCTCGAGCGCTTCAGATACATTGCCGAGTGGTGTACCGCGATCGCGAAGGGCACCGGACACCACGTATGCCGGACCACTCCGCGGACCAGCGCCGTGATGTAGCTTTCTATGAGCGACGTGTCGTCTTCCTCCGGATAGAGATACTCCTTCAGCGGCAGCACCAACTTCTCCGGCGGTAGTTTGAGGTATCGCAGCGCGGCCGCGTGTTCCGACCACAGCAGTTTTCGATAGTGCGGATCGTGCCGTTGCGCCACCGGCACCAGCAACGTCGTAGCGAAGCCGTCGTCGCCGTACGAGCTCGAGCAGAAGTGCTCGCACAGCGCCGTGTACAGATCGGTGAAGGAGCTTAACCCCGGCAGCTCCGTCTGGAAGTTCAACCGCTTGTGATATCTCCTCAGCAGATTCGACAGAACGTTCAGCAGCAGCGTGGACACGTCGCCGTCCAGGTAGATAGTATCGCAGAGGTACACTAGTATCAGTCTGCTGAATCTCAAAGTGGGCGACAGCTTCTCCATGAGGTCGGGCAAGACCAACGCCAGGGTCAGCACTGTCAGGACGCTGTCCTTGTCCCCCGACTGCAACTTGATATCGCTCTTGCACTTTGTGTACATGTGAACCAAAGGCAGGAAGAGCCAGTCCCTCGGCATCGCCGCCTGATTCCAATCGCCGTTCGGTACGATGTATCTCTCGTACAGCGACGCTGCGTCGGAGTGCAAGCCTGTCTTGACCTGGTTCACCGTGGACCCCAGATCTAATCTGGCCAGTTCGTTAGTGATTATCTCTAGATTCACCTTTTCGCTCGATAGCGCGATTTGAAGGAGCTTCCTCACGTGATCCGTGGCGTCCGCCGGCAATGCCGAGATGAGCTTGATGGTGATTCTCCACGCAATTTGCGCCGTCTCCTTATTGATCGCGTCTCCAAGGAGGGATGCTGCTTTCACTACCGCCGTCAAAAGGCACAACTCCGTTCTGCTGTACCACGATCTTTCCAGACTCCACTCGGTCCCTTCCAAGTCTCGCATGTATTTGCGGAAAGACGGGTGCTCGAGTATTGTACCAATTTCTGCTACGCGAGAGTTATTATAAAATGTATTCAATATCGTCGCCAAGAACGGTATACACGAATGTGCCGATACGATCGGCTGCAACTCTCCGTTTTCTATGAGAGCGCCCAAGTTTGGAAGACAAGATGGTTCCCGATCCGTAGCCGCGTTGCAGTCGCTCAATAAATTCGAACTGGAGCTGCAAGAACATAAATATGATAACTATTGCAGGTTGTCGTTTCTTTTTTTTATACGTTTCGAGATCATAAAAGTCTCCTACCGAAGAGTTGAAAAAACGTGCTGGTTGAATAGCTGTGCTGTTTTACACGCGGGTATCTCGTCAACGGCGGATAAACTTTCCGCAATTAATTTCATAACGCCCCACTGAAATTTACAATATTTCATAAGACATTTCTAAGATCGACAAGTAATAAGTAACACGTTCTTTTTTAGATAACTTCTTAGTAATTCTTGATAAAAATCGATGACCAACAGATTAATATAATTGCTCTCACCGTTACATTAGATACCGACGAAAACTGTGTGCTCCACTTCGCTAGCAACGTAGAGATGCTCGGTTTTAACGTGGTTTCGTGACTCGCCACAGCAATTAACGCCGCGGCGTGCTCGCACGCCAACTCGGACGTACTTTGAATATTATGATTACTTAATAGCAGCTGTAATTGCGACACGAGAGTTAACCGAGCACCCGTGACGCTGTCCAATCCTACTCCGTAATGCAACAACACTCGCCAGAACCGCAGGCTCTCGATGCTGAGACTTGGGTCATTGTTCCTGCTGAAGTATTGGCGTGTTTAATAAAATAAGCGCATGTAAAATTACGCTTAGACGCGAGAGAGAGCTTACCCCGTTTCGCTGCTAATGTACGTTAAGACGGCTTGGATAATCTTCAAGTTATCCAATTTCTGCGCGACGGGCTTCTTGCCATACGTGACGAGAACGCGACACAACTTAATCGCCTTAACTACGGGAATCCCGTAAACGTTCTTTATCGTGTCCTGCATCGCTGTAAAGATTCACGCTTTCACATCCAATAATTATTCATCCGATAAATCGGCTTAAATAAATTCAAGATACTAAAGGCGATAAGTAGCCTCAGGCTTAATTCACCTAATCGGTCTATAGACAGTGGTATAAAATTTTGGACAATGGTGTCCAACAGATACGGCGTGGACGAGATATTCAGTGCCGTTACGTGCGAGTGTCTCGCGAGGCGGATGAGTATCTCTAAGGCACACGTTACTCCAACTGGTGGTGGATGCATCTCGTTTAAAATATATCTACGAGCGATCACACAAAAATCAGTTGTACTGTCTCACATTAAAAAAAGAATCAAATAAGGTCCAATATTCAAATGGAAGTATTACGAATATTTAGATAAAAATAATGACAAAGCTGCACCTGACTCTTAGCAAAAAGTCCGATCTCAGTAACGTAGCCACGGTATCCAACTGCGCCAATTCGTGATCCTTCAGGCTACTCGTGTCCTTGTCCTCGAGTTGAGGCGTCAGGGTGGGCTCTGCGTATCCATTGAAGCCATGCAGCCTGTCCAAGCATATCTCGTCCGCCTCGCTGACCAGGAAAGCTCTGAGAGCTTGCAGAGCCGCCGTCACCACGGCCACCGACGGGTCGTCCAGCGAGAACCTCAGAAGCAGCAGGATGTTCTTCTGACTGAGCGCGAGCAGCGGCGCTGGATGCAGAGCCTTGTCGTACCAACCCTGGTGCGTCTTCTCCATGATATTGGCTAGGGTGGTAAGAGCTGTACACCGTTGCTGTTGCGTGGAGGACCTGCTCAGCTGCAGCAACTCCTGCAGGGAGTACCCGGGACGTTCGGGCTCCTCTCCGTGATGATGGAGACCTTTGTCCACGGTCAAGCTCTCGTCCTTGTACGGCAACAAAAAACCTAAAAGATAAAAATAACTAAATAATAGAAGTAAAAGGACGAGGCCAATCAACGTCGTGGCGGAGTTCATGCGCTATTCACCATTGAAATCAAATCTCGCGTTGTACTCCTCGTTCGGCGTGGACTCGTCCGTTTTCTTCTCCGGCAAGTCGCCCATCCACTTCAACTTTTCTAGCTCGGGTGTGTTCATGTGCAGCCAACCTTTCTGTTTGCTCTCTTCGAGTATTTCTTTGAATGCTTCTGGCACGCTGGCGTCATCCTCGCAATCCGTCTTTATGTCGGCGTCATCCGAAGAAAGCTTTGTCTTCTTACTATCGGATACCTCTGTATCCATTGTTATCTCTTTTGCGACTAAAGTGCTCGCTGCGTTATTCTCGCAATCTATTCCCGAGTCGTCGTCGTTTGGCGAGAACTTCATCTTCTTATCACTGAATACTTCTTTGTCCGTTGCGCCCGTGGTCTTGAACGCGACTGAAATGGTGCATCGCTCGTCCTGTTCGATCGATCTTTTCTGCAATTTCTTCTTTTTGTCCCTTAAAAACTGTATTATGTTAGGATCAAGATTCTCCTCAAGCTTCCTCTTTGCCTCTAAAATCTCCGCTTCGCTCATCCGCGCCAGCTTCTCCAAATTTTCCTTGTGGACTTCAACGGCCAATTGATCCCCCATCGCACTCGCGTCTCCCTCGCCGCAGTGGGAAGATTCGTCCCTCTGGACTTTCGCCGAATCCTCTCTCGTAGATTTCAACTTTGATACCCTTCGCGCGAACAAGCTCTGCTTACCGTCGATCTACAAAGAGCACTAAAGTGATAAAATTGCCACAAAGAGATGAAAGCAAGACTCGTTTCATTCGGACGTACTCTTTCCATAAGGGACGCGTCGTCGGATCCAAACACCTCGGGTGCCGGCTCGACCGCCGCGGCTACGTAGCCGCCGTCAAACTCGTACTTCTCGATGTCGAATTTCCTCTCCACGATGTTGCCGAGTATTACGTTCGACGACGCCACGGGTATGTTCTGCACCATGTCCACCGGTTTCGCTTGCCTCGTCTCCCGCATCCTGCCTTCGACGACCGGGTTTATCACCTCTCCGCTGCTTCGCGAGGTGGAAACCACGTCTCGCCTCGCTCCGGACTGCCTCAGACTCGAGAATCGCGATCTCGCCCTGCCGGCGCCCGGAGCACCGCCCGGTGCGCCGGCGGAATCCCGGAGGTCTATCAGCTTCACGGACGGCTCCCGCTTCGCCTCCAGGAACTTCTCTTGCTGGCGCAGAAGCTCCTCCTCGTCCTCGTCCGCCCTGGGCCTCTTCCACCGAGCTCCCTCGGCCATCTCTCAGGTTGTTATAACCTCTGTATCACTCGCAACAGTCTACAATCGGATAGTGCGGTCGGAGGAGGACCTGCAAATCGAAACTCGATCAACTCGATGATCGCAGCTCGCGGGGAACAATTACTGCGACGTGACAATTCGCGTTGCCGGCGTCGCGTAATGTTATACCTTGTCAACTCACCTCGCGCGATCAGACGCGTGTAGTTTCCGCGGGATCCAAAACATATTCTTGAACGAG